GTAAAAAAAAAAAATTAAGAAAAGACAATCAAAGCAACCAAAAAATTAAATGAAAATTTACGTGGAAAAACCCGAGAACGAGAAAAAAACACAAAGCCACAACACTAGAAATTTCCACTATAAAATTCAAAAAGTTTTACAAAGAACTTACACAAGTTTTCTCTCCACATACAAAGAAAGCTTACAAGACTTGCTACACAATCTTTCCTCTCCGATCCGACGTAAAAAAATCACGCTAAATCACCGAAATTCACCTCTTCGATACTTCTAACCTTCACTAGGATAATTGTTGAAGAATATCGAAAGAAGAAATAGCCAAACTACGGTTTTCATCGTTGAATTTGGGATTAAAGCCAAATCCCGTTTGCAAATCGCCCTTGGCGGTTAAGCGCCAAGTGTGGGTGCATATGAGCACGGTGTCTTGTGCTTGGTCTCCACAACCCAAATATATCCCACTTGGAGAATATAACAACACCAATCCTCTGTACCTGCAGCTCCATCTGAATCACCTTCATAGTCACGTACCGTGGTCACGTACTGTGGTGTGGCTTACCCCCGGTTTCAACCTTCATGAAACCCAACTGAAGCCAAGCACAGCTTCATTTTCTCAATAGTCACCACATTCGTCAATATATCCGTAGTATTCTCAACTGTGTGTATCTTTTCCAGAAATAACTGTCAATCTTCTAAAAGATATTGAATGAAAGGATACCTGAGCTGGATGTATTTTGTACTGGAATGAAAAACGACTGTAGAGTGTTCCAATTCCCTACTTCTTGCCCAATTTTGCAATGAAATTATGTATCCAAATCATCTCCTTACTAGCATTAGTGATAGTAACATATTCGGCCTCTGTAGTTGACAGTGCAACAATCTTGTGCAACCTGGAAACCCAACTCACTGCTGTGTTCCATAATGTGAAGATATATCCCATTGCACTTCTATTGTCCATATCTCTTGCCATATATGAATCTTCAAAATCCTGTAGACTAATCCTTGCACTTCCATAGCAAAGTGCATTGTTGATTGTTCCTCTCAAATACCTGAGAATCCACTTCACTGTCTGTTGATGATGTCTGTCTGGATTGCACATGTACATGCTGACCATTCCCACTGCATATGCAATATCTGGTCTGGTATAAATCATCACATACATCAACATTCCAACTGATGAAGCAAACAAAGCTCTCTCCATCTGAACTTGTTCTGCTTCAGAGTTAGACGATAGCTTCTTAGATAGTTTGAAGTAACTACCAAAAAGAGTGCTGAATGGTTTCACCTCACTCATGTTGAACCTCTGTAGAATCTTCTCCACATATTTTGTCTGAGACAACTTTAGTGTTCCTACACTCCTATCTCTATTGATTCTCATCCCAAGGATCTTCTTAGTTGGACCAAAAAACCTTCATCTCGAACCCACTTGATAACTGATTCTTCAAGTCTCTGATTTTCTTCATATCTACTCCTGCAATCAGCATCTCATCTACATACAAAAGAAGCAAAATATAACAGTACTGAAATGTTTGATGAAGCAACAGTGGTTTGTGTGACACTTCATGTACTCATTTCTGACATGAATCTGCAAGCCTCCTGTACCACTGTCTCGGGGTCTACTTCAAACCATAGAGACTCTTCTTCAATCTACAGACAAAATCCTCTTTGACTGGAACCTTGTAACATTGTGATTGCACCTCCATGTAAAAAAAACTATTATTACATCCACCTGCTCCAGATGTAGATCTTCCACTGTTATCAGACTCTCAACACAACCATGACGGTAGTCATCTTCACCACTGGGGAGAAGATCTCAGAGTAATCCAATCGTTTTCTTTGCTGGAAAACCTTTACAACAAACCTTGCCTTGCAACACTTGCTACCATCTGACTCATTTTTTAGCCTGTAGACCGACTTGTTGTGCAGTGTTCTTTTGTCGTTTGATAGAACTGTTAAATCTTAAGTCTGATTTGAATAAAAAAATTGCATTTCATTCATGACGAGCTCCCACTCCCATGCATCTTCAAATTAAGTGGCCTCCTCAAAGTACTCTGGTTTGACATTATCAGTTAATAATAAATAAACTAAAGAAGGAGAATACCTTTGTATGAGTTGTTTCAATCTGGTGGATCTCCTAACTTCTATAACAGGTGACTGAGAAACTTCCAGTGCTCATTTTGGTTGAACACTTGTTTTTTCTCTATCTTCTCGATCACTAGTATCTTCTAACTCCACATATCTGGATTCTTTCGAATTAGCTAGCAAAATATCCTGAGTTCCAATCTTTTCTTTGCACATCTCCATTTCATTGAACGTGACGCCCCTACTCCTGATGAATTTCTGATTCTGATAATCCCATAACTTACACCCAAACTAATGAGTCATATCCAATGTAGGTGCACGTGATAGATTATGAGACAAGCTTGTTTTAGCAGTCTGCATCAACATGCATATATGCAGAACACCCAAATACTCTTAAATTAGATATACAAACATTTTTTTCACTCCAAGCTTCTTTAGGTAAGCCTTCTTTCAAATGTACAGATTGACTACAATTTATCAGATAAACTATTGTATTAACTGCTTTAGCCCAAAACTATTTTGGCAAAGCTGCATGTAGCCTCATGCTCCTAGCACGCTCCGTGATTATTCTGTTTATGCGCTCAACCACACCATTTTGCTACGGTGATCTTGGGAAAGTGAACTCATGCCTGACCCCCTCATTAGCACAAAAATTCTTGAACTTTTGATCACTGTACTCATCCTCATTATCTGATCTGAGAAACTTCAGCTTCAAGCTTGTCTCATTTTCTACCATAGCCTTCCATTTCTTAAAGTGTTCAAATACATCAGATTTCTGCTTTAAGAAATATGCTCAAACCTTTCTCGTGTGATCATCAATGAATGCGACAAAATAGCAAGAATCTCCAATGTATTGAACTGGGGTAGGATCCCATACAACAGTATGCACTAACTTGAGTTACTTTTGCTTGTCATATATACAATCTTCACAGAATTTCAGATAAATAATTTCGGATCATGAAGCTTATTTTCTGAAAGTATGGGATTTCATACCTTTCTCGCTCATATAGCCAAATTTAAGGTGCCATATACCTGTATCTACCCTGGTTCCAGCCACATCAATGAAATCAGACATTTTATTGATCAGATAAATGGTTCCTTCAATGTTGCCCCGAGAAATCACCAATGCCCCCTTGGTCCCCTTCCACGAATCACCTGTGAAAATAGTCACGAGTCCTGACTTTGTGAGCTGGCTCACAGAGACAAAATTTCTCTTGAGACTAGGAATATTTCTAAATTAACTAAATTAAGTAAGCTTCCAGACTGTTCCATTTGACAACTTGATATCAACATCACCCTTTCCAACTATAATGCAGGCTTTGTTATCTCTTAAATAAACCTTCCCTAGATCACTTTGAGTGTAGTTTTTAAATACATTTTTATTGGGGCAAATATGAAAATAGGCACTTGAATCGACTATCCAGGATTCAGCACTGACTAGGGATAACACCAGGAAGTCACTTTGGATTTCACCAGTGAAGACATTAATAGAGAAACTACTTTCTTGCCTCCACCACCAACTTTCCTTGGAGCTTTGTAGTTCTTCTTGAAATATATTTTCTTACCACAGTTCCAATATTCTCCTCTGCTTGACTTGGGTGTTTTCCTTTCTTGAGCTTGGATCTGCCTCTCTTTGTATTTCTGCTCAAATTCCTTCCCATGTTATCAACATTCGGCAGATAAACTGAAGATTCACAATTCGTTGCTTTTCTACGAACTTCATTATTTAACATCAAACTCACGATGTCATTGAAGTTCAACTTCGAAATCCCTGAATAATTACTCACCGTTGTTATCAAACCATCTCAGCTTTCCAAAAACAAAGATAGCATCACCAATGTTCTGACATCATCATCAAACTTAATCCCCATAGGACACAACTGACTGATCACAATGTTGAAGTTATTGAGATGCTCTGTCACTGAACTGTCTTCTACCATCTTCATGTTAAATAACTTCTTCAACATAAAAACCTTAATGGAAGCAAAAGGTTTTTCATACGTCTTGACCAGTGCCACCATGAGATCCACCATAGTTTTCTCATTCACAATATTGAGCGCAACAGATGAGGAAAGTGTCAACCTAATCAAACTCAGTGTCGTTCAATCCAACACTTCTCATTCCTCCATAGACATAGACTATAGCTTCCTTGCGATTCCTTATAGTGGCAAATATAACTTTTTCTGATACAACAAATCCTCCACATGCATCTTCCAGAAAGCGAAGTTTGTCTCATTGAACTTCTCCATTTTGAACTTTGATTCTTCAGCCATTTCTCTAGAATCGAACTTGGCTCTGATATTAGTTTGTTAAGGAAACTACTTCGAAAGAGTCACCTTTTAATTTTATCGCGAAATAGGATCACAGGATTTAAGAAAACCGGAACAAAAAATTTAAGAAAACATAGTCAAAACAATCAGAAAAATACACGAGAATTTATGTAGAAAAACCCGAGAATGGGAAAAAGTCACGAAACCACACTACAAAAAAATTTCATTATGAAATTTGGAAGAATTTACAAAGAACTCGAACAAATTTTCTCTCCAAACACAAAAAAAATTTACCGGAGTCACTCCATAATTTTCCCTCTCAAATCTGACGCAAAAAATCACACTGAATCACCGAAATTCACCTCTTCTACACTCCTCAACTTCATCGGGATGCTCATTGAATACCGAAGGAAGAAATAGCCAGTTTGCAGTTCGTTGCTCGAATTCAGGATTAAAACCAAATCCCACTCGTGAACCACCCCTAACGCTTAGGTGCCTAAGCTCTCGGGAAGCTACGCCTAAATTGAGCGCATAGGCAACCAATAGTTGGCGCCTAGGCACAAATATAAATGAGCATGCGCATATGCGCCCATGACTAGCGCATAGACCTGGCTCCTCTGGAGCGCGCCCAAATGTGGGCACATAAGCGTCGGGTGCGGCCTTGTGCTTAGTCACCACAGCCCAACAGTGAGATCTCATATATGAGTGTATTAGTTACAAAAGGTTGTTCAAGGCATTTGTAGGATTGGCATGCATTGCGGAATGATTCATCAGATGGAATGTTCTAACAAATTTTGGAGAAAGGGGCTGTAAGTTTGGAGTGTGGAATGCCTAGTCGTTGGTGCCAGACTGAGGAGCTAACAGGGGCGAAGTGCAATGATAGTGGTTGAAGCTGAGAATGAGCAGAGGCCTTGTCTAGCTGGACCATGGATGAGAATTTGCGTGGCAGCTGGATCCTGAGTACAGCATCCAGAAGAATTAAAAGAGATTAGACAATGATTGTCTTCAGCAGGTTGATAAACTGAGATGAGATTGTGAAAAGTGTGGGGACCCATAGAACAGAAGATTAATAAAGCTTACGAGTATGAGTGTGAAGGATTCCAGTGTAAATTTTGAAGCTTGCACTTAAAAATTAATCATATAAAATAACAGATAACACATACATCTCTGTTAAACGTCAAAGCAATCCAGTGTATATTTGAACTACGAATGTAATGACCAAAAACTACTAAAAAAGAAGTAAAACTAACCAAGAAAATTCTTCAATGTTTCTAAGATCTCCTCAAATCTTGAAGGTGAACTATTTCCCACTGTGAACCTCTCACCCACATCATTAATAGCAATCAAGCTATCCTCGGGTTCCTACCTCACCCGACTACCGCTCAACATTTTCCGTGCCATGCAACATTTGTCCAATCTCACATCTGAAGCACACAACGATGATGCAAAAGTAAAAGGAGAGCTTGTGGTGAGTTGGAGCTCCAATAGAATCCTTGCCACCCTCTCTCCAACAGCAGAATTTCCATGAAGCCAACAAGAAGAGAGTAAGCTTCCCCAAAGAACAGAACGATTTCCAAATGGAATCATGCTTGCATAGCTTCAGCCTCTTCAAATCTTGAATCTCTAGAAAGAGATTGATTAGACAAAATAGATGCTCATTATTAGGAGGATTCCCATAAATTTAAGGGGCATTTACAAACATAGCAGCACACAATTCTTATGTAAATTCTTATGTATTAATATATCTCACACCTAAACTTTCATATTTACACACATAACACTCAAATACTTAATATCATATCAAAAATATCACTATTTTTTAAAAAGTGAAATACACCTTTTCATGCATAGTTTTAAAGCACCATAGTTCTGTGAAAGTATAAAAGTTTTGGTGTAAGATATGTAAATACATAAGAATTGGGTGCTATGTATGTAAATTTCCCTATATAAATTCAATTAAATAAAAATAAGTCTACCCCTCATCCAACAAATGCCCATGACAGCAAGTTGTAAGCAGACAATGAAGCGACAAAATCTAGCTCAACTCCATTGCTAATCACCGGCCCAAAGACTTGGATAGAAAACATTCCAAGGCCATGTCAAGCTAGTGCAATAACAACAATGCTGCATGAGGCCAAATTCCGCTTCAACAGGCAACAAAAAAAATATGATTTGCATATTGAATGCAGCCAAACTAGGCATATAGTTATCTGTTATAGTAAAAGCACCAGATTTCACCAATCTCATCTTAGAGCATTACTGCAGGAGTGAGACACTTCTCTAGGATCATCGGTTGTCAGTCAGGCGAGCATATGCTGCAGCAAATAGGAAACAAGCTCCATAAAAAGAACCAGAACAAAATCCAAATGACATTTCTCTTTTCCTTTCACAAATAAAAGCAGACAGAAACTCCACGGCCTTCAATTTCTACTATAGCAGATAATCTATAAAAAAGAATTTTGAACAAATTACTATTATAATATCATAAAATTTCTCCAAGATAAAAGGATACATGCAATGCATATATGCATAGGCACAGACAGAAGCACCAGATTGGGGTGCTCCAATCATGAACAATGGCAGCGTATTGTTGACGAAAGTTAGTCCGTGACAGTATGCACTTGAATGAAGCATAGGTATATGGATGGCAGTTGTATTAAATCCGATCCAATTATACCAGATCCAATAAGTATATGAGTAATTTATCCCAGAGAATAATTATTTGAGTTTGATATTCTGAATCATCTAACAAGATTTGGTATTAGCCCATCAATTATCCAGTCATTAAAATAGAAAAAGTATCGAGTAACTATGATGTCAGGATTTAAAATTATTTAAGGTTGGAGATGACAATGATGTTGGGTTTAAAATTAGATTTACAACAATATTTTTTGTTTCAATTTGTCCAATATATAAAGATTGTTTTTTGCGGAATTTTTATATTGTTGATAGTGCCATTGAGAAGTGAGAATAGATAATCAATTTTTACTACCCATTAAGTTTGGATACGAATTTAAGTAGTGCAAAGTTAAGCAGAGGCAGACCCAAATATACTTCGGAGAGGGTACCCTATCTATTTTCATCCCTAGATAGCATATGGAAAATCTATATTTGATTTAAAAAATAAGTTATCTTTTCCGTAAAATTATAAGCTAAAAATGTTCAATGTACATGTGGAAAATTTTTGATTTGGCAAACCTATACAGCCATTAGATTTAAAGAATAGACATCAAGCAATAGATGAGTTGACTACATTATTATCTCAACGTCAAGATTTTGGATAATTAAATCTGCATGGTACAAAAAATATATCAAAAAGTTTAATATGACAAGCTTCTATTGGGATATCATCAGGTCCTACTGATTTTTCAACCTTCATTTTTTTAAAGCTTCCTCAACTTCCTCTTTACAATTGTGAAAGTAAAAATAAAAAAAATTATTATTATTAACAATATTAAAATCAATAAAGTCAATTGTATTTTCAAAAAACTTCATTGAAAAGATTATCAAAATATCCCACCCACCTATGTTGAATATCATTATAAATACTTCATTGAAAAGATTATCAAAATATCCCACCCACTTATGTTGAATATCATTATAAATAAAAAAAAAAACTTTTTGATTTTCATCTTTAATACACATACTTGAATTAAATCTTTACTTATTTTTCTTTTTGTTTGACTAGTTTATACATATATTTCACCCTCTTTAGTATATAATCTAATATAATTGTCACTAAAACCATATAAACCTTTTGAATAAGCATCAAAACAATCTAATGTACAATATAACTACAAATGTAATGAACAGAACGTTTTGAAAAAGATGTGAATCTAACCTGCGAAGAAACCCTTTTTGCCTCCAGATTTAAATTTCTTAATGTTTCTAAGATCTCTTCAATTCTGGCATGTGAAGAGTTTCCAACTGTGAACTTCTCAGGCAAATCATTTACAACAACCAAACTATAACCAGGCTCCTTCTTCACCCCACTACCTTTCAACAACTTCCATGTCATGGAGACACTATCCCATCTCGCATATGAAGCATACAAAGTTGATAACAAAACAAAAGGAGAGCTTGTGGTGGGTTGGAGCTCCAATAGCTTCCTTGCCACCCTCTCCCCAACAACAAGATTCCCGTGAAGCCGGCAAGAAGAGAGTAAGCTTCCCCAAATAACAGAGTCGTTTCCAAATGGAAACATTCTTGCATGGGCTTCAGCTTCTTCTAATCTTGAAGCTCGGCCCAGCAGGTCAATAACACAAGATAGATGCTCAATTTTAGGAGGGTTCCCATAAATTTCTTCCATGGAATCAAAATAAGTTTTCCCCTCATCCACCAAACCCGCATGATTACAGGCTGCAAGAAGTCCAGTGAATGTGGCAGAATCTGGCTTCACTCCACTGGTATTCATCTCCTCAAAAACTTGGATGGCAATCCTTCCAAGGCCATGGTAGCCAAGTGCTGTAATAATTGTGTTCCACGAGACCAAATTCCTATTTGGCATGCAATGAAAAATACGATTCGCATATTTAATCCAGCCACATTTGGCATACATGTTCATGATTGCATTAAAAACTCCAACATCAAGTTCAACAATAGCTCTGATGAGACGGCCATGCATCTGAGTACCGTATCTAACATAAGACAGGTCAGAACAAGCAGCAAGAGCACCTGCTAACGTAAAATTATCAGGATTCAATCCATAGGCCTCCTCCATCTTTCTGTATATCATTAAGCTCTTGTCATGCTCTCCAAAATAAGAATATGCAGCAATATATGTGTTGCAAGTAATGACATCTTTCTGTTTTATAGAAATGAAAGTATTTTCAACATCATCAATTGTACCACATTTGGAATACATTGTCAAAATCACATTGCCAACAAAAGCTGTCCTGTTAAGTCCAACCTTAATTGTTTGACAATGAAGTCCTTGTCCAGAAAATAAATCCTCTTTCATAGTGCAAATCCCAAAAACAGCGACATAAGAGAACTGATCCGGATGCAAACCTTGTTGGTTCAACACACTGAACAGCTCCCAGCCTTTTTCCAGTTGCAAGTTCTCTCCTAAGCCTGTAATCATAGTATTGTAAGAGACCAAATTTGGCTTGGAAATGTTGCTAAATATCAACAAGGCATTCTCTATGCAGCCACATTTCATGTACATTGACAAAAGTGAGTTGTAAACGAAAGAGATGCCATCATAACCAGATTTCAGAGAATGTGCATGAGCCTGTTTGCCCTGAGGCAGGGCTAAAAGGCTTGCACAAGCACTGATTATACTAGCATATACATATTCATTGGGCTGCAAATTCATTTTAGTGAAGGTGTTCAAAGCCATTGAAGCATTTCCAGTCTGTTCATAGCCAGAAATGAGAGCTGACCACGAGATGAGGTTTTTGTTTGGCATACTGTCAAACATTTGCTGCGCATCTTTTAAATAATTGCACTTTGCATACATATTGATTACATGGTTGCATAAGAAAACTTTGGATTCTGAACCAACCTTGGTGAGGAAAGCATGGAATGAAGCGCCATATTTGGCTGTTCTGATCTTGGAGCACTGCTGCAGGAGTGCGCTCAGCATCTCTTGGATCATGAGTGGTCACATAAGGATAAGCTACAGCAACAGAAAGTAAACTATTGAAAAATGAAAGGGGATTCAGAATAAAAAACCAAATGACAATTCTACTTCCAAACAAGAACTGATTTGGCTGCTCCAATTCTGAAGAACTATGCTCTTCGACGAAGCATAGGCATATAGATGGTACTCATCTACCTTATTTGATTTGACTAACTCAGTGATGTGTGAAAAGAATGCATGAATTTCTTTATATTTTGCACACTTTTTTAATGAAATTGCACTTTAAAGAAATATATTTGTATTGTTTTATTGCAGGTATAACATGTTTTAGGAGTGGAACAAAGTGGAAGGAACATGAAGCAAAAATGAGATAATTTGAAGAAAAAACAGTTTGTGAAGGCCGGGGCCACGAGGCAAGTACTGGGCGCCTGGGTGCCGGTCAAGCTTGGGAACCCGAGAGATTAGCATCAGGGTGTCAACCACTGGGCGCCAGGGCCTCAGTCCTGAAGACCAAGGCTATGGCGCTAAATCAGCGTGGCGCCTAAGCGCCAGTCAACTAAAATGCAACCCCAGAGGTTGGCACCTTAGCGCCACGGCCCCAATCCTGAAGGCCAAAGCCATGGCGCTTGAATAGAGTGGTGCCTAGGCGTCAAGACCAAATTTTGAACGGTTTCGAGGCAGTTCAGAGCAGTTTCAGAGCGGGTTAATGACAACTTTAAGAGCAATTTGAAGGGGACTTTAAGAGGAGAAGAAGAGTTCGCGAATGGGGTTTTTTGTGGTGGTGATTTTTAATGTGTGTTCTAGGGTTACAGAGAGTTTTGGAGGGGTTTTCCTCTAGTGTTTGTAATTGTCATAGGCTTGTTCGAAGCAAGTCTAGGGGTGTGTTGTGTTGTAAGTGATGTTGTATAAGGAGTTCCAGGAGAAGAGTAAGGGCTTGAGTGGAGCAATCTCAAGGCAAATTGAGGAAGAGAGATAAGTATATTTGTGATTTGGATTGTAGTATTTCTGAAACACCTTTATATGTTGAATTTATTTGTTTCAATGCATTCTGGTGTAAGTTTATCCATGCTTTCTGAGTAAATTTAACTGTTTTTCCTTGAGGTGATGTAGTAGATGTGTAGGAATGTGGATATCATGCATGAAATAATTTTTATTCTATAATTGTGATGATTTCCTTCTGCACTTAGTTTACTTTTCAATCTGGTCAGTTCATCTATTAAAATGTGTAGTGAACCCATAATAAGAACTGGGAAGAGCTACAACAATGAAAATCACGTTGAACTATAGGGCATGAATCAAAGTACATTGTAGGGATGCAAATAAATGGAAGAAAATTTCATTGGGTTCAAAGTGGGACTTAAGGAATTAAAGTCACTTTAACCAAGCCTTTTTATACGCTTGGAAGAGAGAAAGAGCATTTGTGCTTCTATTTGTCACAATATTTTACCTTATTTCACATTTCTTCCACATCTACACTATACTATTACCACTGCAAGGAAAAATAACCTTAGAACTTAGCATAACCAATTCACATATCATAGTTAGAAATTTTGTAGGGATAATTTTATCTAAATGCAGTAGGTTTGTTAGCAAAAATTTACTAAATCTAGTGAATTAGCAAATTTAACAGATTTAGACGAAAGGAAGAAAGGGGTCTCTCGTATCCATTCCGCCCAGCTGCCCTATTTCTACGATGAGATCAAACATAGTCTCTCCACTCAATGACATGAGTCTTCCCCATCTTCTCCTTTTTCCAGCAGTCATGTAGCCCTCCACCCACCTTCCTACCTTGCATGAACTGCATTGTTTGTCATTGGCGGTGGGTCGAACTGACACAAACGGATCCATCACTTGTCATCTTCGCACAGTCTTGCCACTCAAGGGATCTCAAGGCCAAATCTGTTAGCCGACTGACATTGTCCAATGAAGGCAAAAATTTGCATGCTCCCTGTGGAAACATTCTAATCTCCTCAAACAAACTCAAATGTGTTGAGAATTTCACAGTTTTTTGTGAAGCTTTAAGAGCAAACAAAGTAGATTGAATCTAATAGGAAGGATTTGTTTATTTCGAATTCTTACTTTTGTTATTGTGCTTGGTTTCAGAACAGGACCTAGCATCCACATCTGTTAATGAAAATGAACTGGAAAATAAAGCATCTAGCCAGACCAATTTACTTCTTTATTACTTCCAACAAATCTTTGTGACATAAAAATGACGAAATATAAAGCTTTAAAGAGAATGCTTTTGATCCCATTGAAAAAATTAAATAAATAAATAAATAAAAGCAAATGGTATTCAGGGTGGACCTAGGTAGGGTCCAGACTCCCCTCAAATTCATATTTTTCTGCATATGGGAGGACAGTTTGGCCCTTTGCCTCTCCAGAAAGATTACATTGCCTTCGTTGCCCTAGTCCCTCCCACGTTGAGTCTAGGGGGACAGTTTGCCCCCCACCCCTCCAATGATATACTACTTAATGAATAATTATTTTAAGGGAATACTTATTAGCATGTTCTTAATTTAGCTTGTGTTTTGTTCGTATGAATGCACCTAGAAGTGGAAGAAATTGTAGCAAACTTTCAATAGCATTCAAAGTCTTATCATCAAAAGTTGATATTTAAATCCTATTTAAACCAGCAAACTTAAATCATGGAATAAGCAGCCAGCAAATTTACAAGAATTTAACTGGATTTAGCCTCAACGATATCAAATAGTTTTCAAGATTTAACTACCTCGGGAATTCATAAATCTGGATTTACAGGATCTACTAAATCCTATTTAAGTAGCAGCCAAACAGTCGCTAATATTACTTTACCATAAACTGAACACATATTCGAAGTATTATATCGAAATTGGGAAGATGCCAGTTATTCATGAATTTGAAGCTTGCATTTACAGATTGAACATTCAAAATATTAGATAAATATTCTTCTTTTTCAACAAACATCAAAGAAACCCGATGTAAAGTACAACTACATCTGCAATGACCGTAAAACTTTGAAACAGAAGTAAAATCTAACCTAGAAAGCAAATCACAAGCATGGGGCCACTCTCTACTTCGTTATACATAAGAAGCAGCAGAACATCCATGACGTCTCGGCGATCATTTCGTCAAGCCTGCGCTTGTCAACATCAACCGAATCGTGGCATGCACCTCCCACGAGAGGCGGCATTGGAGTGGCGGAGCTCCACTGTGTGCTGATCAGGTGCGGCGATCGGCGGCGGCGCGTGAAGCTGGAGCGGTGCTGCAGTGTATTGCCAAGGAAAGAAGGAATTCCTCGACGATTTTGGGGTTTTCGGCTCGATTTGAATTAATGAGACTCAAAATCGCTGGTTATATCCGATTGCTGAGTGGAGTCGGCTCAAAATGGAATTGAGCTCCATTGTGGTGCGAGTCACTCATGCCGGCTTGAACTCAGGCTCGATAATTCGCTCTTGAACTGCGCACAATGAGCTAACAAGCGAATCTCATTTTAGACCCCGACACGACTTATTAGAGGTGACTCATTTAAAAAATATTAATATAAAACATACTCAAAATATATTAAATTTTAAAACTTTATTTTTAAGGTATTAAAAATATTGAAAAAAATATTATTTTATATTTTATATTAAGTGATTTATTATTATTTTCTTTGTAGTCGACTAATTGCTCATTATGTTAGTCATTATATTATAACATTATCCTAAATTAATATTATTTTTCATTTTTTTATAATAAACAGGACGGCTGGTGAAACTCAAGCTCGAGGTCGAACTCGAGAAAATTAATCAAGCTAAAGTTCAAGCCAAGAGTGGCTTGAGCTTAGCTCGACGCGTTTACACCTAGCTCAAATCAAAATGACTTAGTTCAAATTGAGTTATTTGCATCCATTTTCAACTCAAAATCAACTAGATTCAGCTCACAATTGAAGCTAATTGGCTCAAACTGAGTTATTTGGATCCATTCCAGCTCAAACTTGGCTTATGACTCGTTATATTCAATTTTACTTGGCATTATATATAACCTTTATAAATAAAAAATATTGCAAGCCGATCTCGAGTGACTTCAAACCAATTTATGTGTGGCTTGAAGTTGGCTAAAAAAAAATTTGATCCAAAATTTTGGCTTATAGCTCTGCTAGTTTATTTCGATCTTATGCCAATTTGATCATGTGCACATAAAAATATATCAACATGAATTTCAAAACAGATGGGCAGCTCAGGAAGAAGATTTGGATGATCGAGCGTAGCCTTCGACGATCATTCCATATGAGTATTGGAGTAGGAAGCACCTTATCCAAACTATTGACAGAATGTGCCAAGAGAAAATCAAGTAAGGCGGTGATCAACCTTCAGGGTGATCGATGGGGAGCACTTTTTCAGACTATATATCTACGAAATCAAGGCTTGCTAGGTGATCGACGGCCCTCATTGATCGAATTGGTCCTCAATTTTATTATATACAAATAACTTTATAATTACAAAAAAATCCTACAAAGTTAATAATGAGGGGGCTAATATGTTCTTTGTAATACTAAGATATAAGCCTATAAATAAGCGGTCCATAATATGAATAAGGGACGCTTTTTTGTGTATCTACTACTGTTTTTTCTCTCTCTTAAATCATTTCTTAATAGAATGTTTCATTCATTGGGTGTGTTTTCTGAATATTTTTTTATTCAACATTTTTAGGTATGGTAAGCGTGGAAACTGTCATCAACAAGAAGAGGAGCCCACCAACAAAAACAGGGATAGTCTAGTCACATGAACGAAGGAGAAGCAACATGCACCCAAGAGTTTATGGAATAATTTGTTCAACAAGATCTATAAGATTTGAGAACTCATATCACCAACTATATGACAGGACTGTTCGCAGAAGTCCTTAGGGCGGTCGCTACCCTAGCACTTCAAAGAACACTCAACCCCCCCCCGGGGAACTGCCAGCCAACAATGGCAGGAGGGTGATCCACGTGCAGATAATACCCAACAACAGTTTATACCAAGACACCGCCGAATCTGCCCCATGGAGGAGAGGAATCGGCCGGTGCGGACCAAGGTTCAGAGGCAGCCAAAGGGCGCTTTCTCCTTACAGGTATCCGAAGTTGAACCCCTAGAAAAGTTCAAGATGTCGATCTTAAAGACATATAAAGGATAGTCGAATCCCAACGACCACCTCACGTCATATTAATCGTCCACATGCCTATTGAAATTTTTTTATGCCCTAATGTGTAAGCTCTTCGTCACAACACTGAGATCAACCACATTAAGGTTGTTTGATGCATTGCTCACAAGGTAGTCACATGTTTTACGAAGTTTATAAGATTTTTTTATTGCATTTTGCCAGCTTTGAGGCCTAAGAAGAGTGCCAAATTTCTGTAACAACTAAAGAAGGGGCTAACAAAAACTTACGATCATTTATTGCACTCTTTCAGAGCAAAAAGTAAGATGTCAAGGACTTGAAGCTTGACATGGCCTAGGCCGCACTAGCGCAAAGAGTGTGGTTGAAGAAGTATCATTTAGACCTTGAGCTCACACAACTACAATGCTTGGCCAAAGCTGTTGGAGATGGCCAACAAATACATCATTTTTTATGAGAACGCCCCTAAGCCCGCCAAACAGAGACACCACAAGACTGCAAGGGACATCCTATGCAAAGTGCACGACCTTCAAACCATCCCCGCTATAAGGGTCACCCCAACAATCACTCCACTCAGCATCAAGAGGACTAGAGGCGATTGGCCAAGACCCAGAATCATTGATCGTCATACCAACGTGAACACCTCCAATATGATAATGGAGTCCCCGCGAAACTCCACTCAAGGTATCAATGATAGACATAGTGGATGTCATCCATGATAATAAGTTGTTCAGGAAATCAACGCCGATGAGGGCCGGAGATTTCCTTCATGATAGCAATAGCATAAAATATTGTATGTACCATAGAGTTCACAAACATGGCACTGAGGAATGCAAACACCTACAAAGCCTGATGGAGGAGTTGATAAAGGAGAGGAAGATAAAAGAATTTGTCACTCCTGGAGCCGTGATCCAAAAAAAAAAAAGCAAAGCTCTCACAGGGGGAGTGACTGACGAGCCTATTGCACCAACTCCATTCACATTGTGATGTACATGCCCGCAATCTTTGAAGGAAGTGTGCCACTCAGGAGGATAGGCTAGAAGAGCCAACAAATAGGGGAACTCTGTGTCACAACTTTTGCCCCAAAACCCAAGGGTCACCCTCCTATCTATTTCACTTACAAGGATCTACCCCGAAAAAGGAAACTCATATAACGACACCATTGTAATAACGATAATAATAAATAATTACCAAATAGGAAGTATTCTCATTGATACAGAGAGTTCTGTGAATGTACTATTCCAACAGGAATTCGAAAAGCTGAGCCTCACTACCGATCAGATGACCGCATCGACCGATCTGTTGTATGGATTCTTGGGGAAAAAGAGGGAAGCAATGAGAGTGATCGGGCTCCTGGTAAGTTGCAAAGAAAATGAAAAATAATTTACACTCATAGAAGATTTTCTCATAGTAGATTCACCCCCAACTTATAAGGCTATATTTGGTCAACTGTTGCTGAATAATTTCAGAGTTGTAGTCTTTACTTACCACGTTGCTATCAAGTTTCTTGGAGATGGAAAAATTATCACGGTCAGAGGTGACCTGGAGCAGTCTTGTGTCTGCTACTTGCGGTCTATAAGCAGCATAAAGCATGATCCCCCGGGCATCCAAAAAGCGAGGGAAGGTGGACTTGAGACCAGCAAGTCCAGTCATAATGTTCTGATGGTCGAAGTAGAGTCGAGTAGATGTTTCTGATAAGCAAAGCTCTTGATGCAGGCCATAGGGAGTTGATGATCCAAGCTCTTGATGCAAGCCCTGGTGGATTCGGTTGTCGGTCACTCAGTCTTGAGTTTCCTTGATGTATTTTTCAGGTACCATCAGATTAAGATGCACTCAACTAACACAAGGAAAACTATTTTTATTACTTGTGAGGGAGTTTTTTGTTATAATGTAATTCTCTTTGGGCTTAAAAATATTATGGTGACTTACCAACACCTCATGGATGTAATCTTTACTAATAAAAAAGGAAGTAACATTGAGGTGTATGTCGATGATGTACTGATTAAGATTTGTCCAGCCAAACAACACATTGAGTACATTGAGGTGTATGTCGATGATGTACTGGTTAAGATTTGTCCAGCCAAACAACACATTGAGTACTTAAAAGAAATCTTTCTAACAATAAAAAAGTATAACATGAAACTAAACCTACTGAAATGCACCTTTGGGGCTGTGGCAGGCAAAATCCCGAGGTATTTGTTAAACCTTGAAGACGTAAAGGCTAACACAAAAAAGATCCAAGCCCTCATCGATGTGTCGTCCTAATAACACTAAGAAAATCCAAAATCTAACCGACCGGATCCCAGTTATGAGTAGGTTCATATCCATGTTAAGTGATAAATGCACCCCATTCTTTAAAGTACTCAAGGAGAGCTAAATGCCTTGAATGGACACAAAAATATGAGGAGGTCTTCAGGAACTTCAAGCAGTTCTTCGACTCTCCTCCCCTCCTTCATAGCTCGAAGCCAAAGGAAAAGCTTTATCCTTACCTCGAGGTTGCCCCCAAAGTCGTTAGTTCAGCCTTGGTCAGAAAAGATCTCAAAAAGTAGCATCAAGTGTACTACACGAGCTAAGTTCTCAAAAGCGTTGAACTCTGATATCCCTTAATAAAAACCTTGCTCACTTCAACACGGAGGTTCTGACCATATTTCTAGGTACACCTCATACAAGTTATCACTGATAACCCACTAAAATATCTTCTTACCATGCCAAAGCATTATGGTTGACTACTCAAATGGATCGTAGAACTCAACGAGTTTGATATCTTCTATATCTCTCAGACGATAATAAAAGCACAAGTTATGTAGATTTCCTAGTAGATTTCTCTGAACCAGAATGGCTGAACGAGGATTTAGCGAGCGACAGATTGATCTAGTGCCTGTTTATTGATGGGGCATCTAGCCAATCAAGTGATGGACTTGGAATTTTCTTATGCATCCCCATAAGAGAAAACGTATACCACTCAATCAAGGAAAATTTTCCATTATCTAAAAATTAAGAGAAAAATGAGGCTTTGATTGTAGGATTTCCCCTAGCCTCAGAGATGGGAGTCCTCCATATAATGGTAAAGGTCAATTCACAACTCATAGTGAACCATATCAACGAAGAATTCGAAACCAGAGAAGAGACTATGACAAAGTACCCAAGGAAGGTGAAGACGGAGATCAGTCACTTTACCAACTTCAGAATCAAACATGTATGAAGGGAGGAAAATTAGGTCACCGACCTCTTATCTTGAAGCCTCCACTCAAGAGAGGGGCTACAAAA